CCCCCAGGCCCGGGCTCCGAGGCGGCGGTGGCGGTGGCGGCGGCGGTGGCGGTGGCAGCACCTAGAAGCCGCCCCTGCGTTTCCCCACCGCTCACGTGGGCCCGTGAAGGAGGAGCCGAGCGTTCCGCTGCTCGCTGATTGGCCAAAGCGCCAGGGTTCGACCGCGCGTCTTCCAGGGTTGGGGAGGCGGGCCCTGCCCCACAGAGCTATGCTGTGATTGGCCCGAGGGAGACTGATGGAACGCAGACGGCCGTCTAGGTTCCGAGGGGACGTGCTCGGCCCCGCCGGTGCTCCACGTTGATTGGCTCAAGACAGACAGATAGATTGACAAGGTTCTGGGGGCGCCTGCCTCGCACTGATTGGCCTATATGGGCTTGATGGAAGACAGCCAACCTCCGAGGATAGGGGTGGTTAGACCCTGCTTTGTGCTGATTGGCGGGCGAGGGACTCCCAGACAGCTGCCAGAATACCAACCAGGCGGTGCTGCTCTCCACGCAGCTCAGCGGAAGCAGGACTTGTATAGAAGTACACAGGCGTAGCAGCCCGCAGGGAGGTGGTCTGGCCAGGGTTCTGCGTAGGCGGGCAGTGTAACTCTGTAGTGATTGGCTAGAAAAGACTAATTTAGAACGGAGCAGAGGTAGGTGGGCCGGACAGCTGCCAGACAGGCGAAGGAGTGTTGAGTGACGGAAACTGGATGCCTACGAGGGCAGGGTCGAGCTGCAGCCAGTTATAAAGGGGTGGAACCTGGCTCTGCATCATTTGGCGGAAGCTGGACTCAACCTAGAATAGGGGCCGGACCAGGGAGGGCGGGACCAGCCCTGCGCCCATTGGTGGAAGCTGGAACTATTTAGAAGCTGGGGCAAGGCCAAGGTTTGGCCTAGACGGGCGTGGGTGTAATTTAAGGTACCTGAGGGACGACTGGGGTGTGGGAGAGGGGTAAACCTTAGGGCCAGGAGTGAAAGGCTGATTGCCTTGGGGAACAAAACCTCCACCCTGAATCGGCCCATTCTCTTTGGTAATTCAAAGTAGTGTACAGTTAAAGAAATGGAAGGAAGGGTCAGTGGGGGCCCAGGTTGCCCAGGTGACGGTAGAGTGGGCAGAGCAGAAAGTCAAGTGGCAAATTCTGCCAGGAAACAGGCTGGAGGCGGGACTTCAGTGGTGCTTTAAAGGTTCCACACAGACTGGATTTCTGGGCCTCTTAGTAACTTTGTGCTTTAGAAACCGGGCACTTCAGCAAACAGGAGGAGTTAAGAGGGGAAAGAAGGGTCACGTGACTCAAAGACATTCAGGCTCTTTAATGTCAGGGGAGGTAGGACGTGGTCAATGGTGAGGCTCTGGGAAATTCTGCAGGCCTTGTAGTTCTCTAAGCCCCTGAAAGAGAGAACAGAAGAGATTGAACAGAGACTGGGTCCAGACCCCACCCCAGGTTTGCTGGGATCTCCCTTCCCTCAGAGCCAGCCTGGCTCCAGTTTGACTCCAGTTTAGAGGGAAAGATGGTCCTTCCCATCTCTGGCTCTCTCCCTTCCTCAGGTTACCACCCTAAACAATTGGAAGTAGAGTCTGGGAGTGGGGTGAGCTGCTCTCACCTCAAGCAACATGTGGATATGGGCCTTGATATTCATGGAGTCCTTGGTGAGGCTGTCGCTGAGCCTGGAGGAAAGAAACAAGAAAGGGCGAAGTGGGCCCCACTTCTGATCATGAGGATGATGCTTCCTCACCACTTCAAGAACTACCGACGTCCTGGATGACTTCCACAGGGCAGGTGGTAAGACACCCTACTACCTGACCTGCTCCTATGCAGAGATGCCTGGCCGCCATCTGGACTGCACTGATTCGAAGACATTTACTGAATGCCTGCTCTATGCCAGGTTGTTTCAGGTACTGGGGAGTTAGCAGCAAACACAACAAACAAAAATCTCAGCCTCATGGAGCTCAAATTCTCATGAAGAGGGACACATGATGGAATAAAATATGGAGTATGTCAGATGGTTTTAAGTATGATGAAAAAATTAAGCGGTAAGAGGATAAGAAGTGCAGAAGTATGGTCTGTAATTCCAATCAGAGTGCTTAGGGATGGCTTTACTGAGAAGCGTTTTGAGTCAAGACTTAAAATGAAATGAATCGTGTAGATATATGGAGAAAGAGTGTTAAGGACACAAGGGGTAGCAGATGCAGAGGCTCTGAGGTGGGAGTGTACGTGGCATGTTTGAGGTACAGCAAAGAGGCCACGGTGGCTGGAGAAAAATAAGCGAAGGGGGACTGTGGGAGGTGAGGCCACAGACAGAGGTCTGCGGGGGGGACAGATGCTGTGAAACCTACAAGGCCATGGTGAAGACTCTGGCTTTTACTCCAAGTGAGATGGGGGTCAGGAGAGGATTGTGATCAGAGAACAGAGTGAACTGACTAGGGTTTAAGAGGATCCATGTGGCTGCTGTATGGAGAACTGACCAGGGATCAGGACAGCTAGTGTGGAAGAGGAAGTCCAGTGAGGAGGCTGTTGGACTAGTCCAGGTAAGAGATGCAGACTCAGGCCACACTGGCAGCAGTTGAGGTGATGAGAAATGACTGGATTTGGGATACAGTTGAAGGTAGGGTCAACATGATTTACCAAAGGAGGATGTCAGGTGTGAGAGGACTTGAGGAAGACACCAAGGCCTAAGCAACTGAGAAGCTGGAGTTGCCTGAAATTACTCCAGCCCTGGGCTGTTGAGTTACATGAACAAGCCAACCGGGACTGGTCTCACCCGAAAGAATCCTAGTTGATACAAAGGGTCAAGGAAGTCCTTTCTGAGGCAGGAAGAATGAGTAGGAGGGCCTTTTCCACAAAAAGTCCAAGAGGCAGGAAAGAACTTTTTGAGGAGCAGTCAGGAGGCCAGAGTGTTAGAAGTTAAGTGAATGGTGGAAGGAAAGTGGCACAAGATAAGGTCCAAGAGGCAGGAAGGGGCTGGATCATGCAGGGTCTTGATATCATGATAAAGAATGTGGATTTTATTGTTCTGAACTATCTGTCAACGTAGGAGTCAGTTTTAGGAAAATCGAATACTGTTAAGAAAAGTAGAAGGCAACAACACAGGATGTTCAATTGGAAAAAAAAACTAGTATGAACCCATTTATATATCACTATCTCCCAAATTTATATTTTCAGTCCAGCTCTCTCCCCCAAACTCCAGCCTTGGGAGTTTTAACTACTTCTTCAGAAAATCAGCTTCAGTGTTTAATGAGCACCTCACAGTTAACAGGTCCTAGACTGAACTCCTGATCCTCCCCTGCAACCAAGTCTGCTCTCCTCCTGTCTTCTCCATCTCAGAAAATGGCAATTTCACCCGTTTAGTGGCTCAGCCAAAACCCTGGACTCCTCCCTGTTTCTCACACTCCACATCCAACCAAGCATTCTGTTCAAAATTGCAATGGCTCCATCCCCGGCAATGTTTATCTCCATTCCGTGCTGTTCTCTGTAGCTTTGTCAACCTGTCATTTACTTGTTAATTGTCTGTCTCCCCTGACTAGAATGTAAGCTGCGTAAGGGCCGAGATCTGGTCGGCTCTATTCCCCGCTGTATCCCCAGGAACCAAAACAGTATGTGGTATATAGTAGGCACTCAATGTATGTTGAATGAATATGTGAATGACTGCTTGACTCACAGGAACCTGAAGTCCTCAAAAGAAAATAAATGGCGCAGGATATAAATGGAGCAGGGTGTTGTTGCCAGAGAGCAAGAATGCTTTCAAGAATATCTGGGGTAGAGCTCAAAGAACAGAGGAACGAATGTGATCAGCGCCTAAGGGACAATCTGAACATTAAAAAAGAGAACAAAGTTAGTTAATGGTACAAGCTTATTCTAAAAGACTATGAGTTCAATACTTAAAAAAAGGAGAAAAATGTAAAAGTTCACCGCATGCGAGGTGCAACACAAAAAGGATAGGTTTAATTTATTGCTACTGATTTAATATGTAAGACAGTGTTACTAGTCATATGGTTATTCTGTTTGTTCTATAATCATATCTGTTTATGCGTGTGGATGGGTATGCCTTTCTGTGTAAAGAGAAAGAATATACACAGAGAACTGATCCCCCGTCCCCAAACAAAGAAATAGACTAAGAACGTGAAGGACTAATACGCTGTTTTGGTTACATAAAATAACCTGAAGGAAAGTTAGTTTATTTAAAGTGTATCCCAAATAAACAAGTATTTTTTTCTCAAAAAACCAAGTATTTTAAAGAAGAGAGTGAGCTACACAGACTCAAATCCTCATCTCCTAGAAAGATTTAATTTCCAGGGAGTCCTACTAATTATAATAAAAGAATAAGAGATTCACATTTTTCATCACACTAATAGACAAGGTTCATCAATCAAAAAGACCAGACAAGGGGCAGGCAGTGACCATTTAAATACCTCATTTTGGGTTCAGACATCAAGTCCCAAACAATTAAAATCTATCTGAAAGGCACAGGAATCCTGTGACATAAGAAGGAAAGCTTTGTTCTAAAAAAATGGACTTAGTCTAAATAGCCACCAGTTCAGAACTGCGTTGGCCCAGGAGAGCAGGCCCCTTGACCAAACTGTTCACCAACTGGTCTAATCACTGAGATTTAGAAATCTCGGCCGGTCTGAGACTCATTTGGGTCTATGAACACTGAAAGCCTGAAAAGGTTTGAAAAGGGGAGGATTATTGAAATCTAAGAGAGGCAACTCTGGAAGAAATGAATGTAGGAATAGAGAAACATTACCTCAAAGGAACTTTAGATCAGTGGTAGTCACACGTGAAATGTTGTTAATCTAAGTACACTACTTGGCATCACCTCATTCACTCCATCTGGGTTGAGTGAATGCTCACCATTCTAGGGCAGTTCCTCTAATGTGGCAGGCCCACTGGTCCCCTAGTCAGGAATGCTCTTCCCCAGATAGCCCCACAGCTTGTTCGCTCAACCAAGTGACCCAAGTGTCAGTTCCTCTGGGAGGCCATCCTGAGCCACAGTTCCGACCTCTCACTGGCACTCCCAATTCCCCCTCTCTACATGGAAACTTCAACTCAACCGGAGCCTATCTTTTCTCCCCATGGTACCTCCCTCACCACCACTACCAGAGATCTGCTTCAATCCCCACTTTAATCGATTTCCAGCAAACAGTTTTCAATTCACTCAACAGAGTGCCTAATATGTGCTACGTGCTATTCTAGTGACTTGGGATATAGACAAAATCCCTCCTTCTGCAAAGCTTATATCCTAGTGGGAGGAGGCAATGAACATTACACAGTAAGGAAATTACCCAGTAAGTATTAGGAGGTCATAAGTGCTCGGAGTTAAAAAAATAAAAAAACAGAACAAGGGAGGGGAGTCAGGGGTGTCAGGGGTTGCAATTTTAAAGTTGTCACCGAGAGCCTTGTTGAGGAAGTAACATTTAATCAAGACTTAAATTTGAATAAGGAGAAAGGAAGCCATGCAGGTACCTGGGGAAAGAGTGCTGTAGGCAAAGAGAACAGCCACCGCAATTGCCCTGAGGTGGGAGCATCCTGAGGGTGTTTAAAGAAGCCTGTGAAGGTCAGCGTGGTCAGAGCACAGTGAACGAGCAGGAAAATTAGCAGGAGGTAAAGTCAGAGGTAACTGGTTTTATTGTTAATGATTCTGAGACAGACCTCCAGGATCTGGTCAAAATTGTGCTGATGTGTAACAGTTACAGTCCTTCTAGAATGCAACCCTTCAAGAAACCCTTCTGTCCTGTTCACTGCTGCTTCCTCACCACCAAGCACAGAGCCTACAGCAGATGCCCGATAAAGTTTTGTGTGAGTGACCAATACAGAGACGATTTATTGAGTGCTTGTTAGGTGCTACACCTGAGGCTGAGCTTTGCATCCCCACTTTCCTCAGTCCGAGCTCTGAGGGGGAGGGGAGGTGGGTCCCTAAGTATGTATCATGGCAGGCAGCCAGGGGGGGGGAAGAAAGGTGTTGCAAATGGCGGTGTTTTTAGATACTATCCTCATGGAAAGGACTTACTCTGTGAGGAGACTGCTCTTACGATCAATGAACTTGAGCGCTTCTGCCAGTGTCAACTCCAGGAAAAAACCATATCCAAGGGCCACGTAGATTCGTGAAGTGTCTGGGCTGAGGAAACAGTGGTTAGAGGAAGTGGGGGAGTCCTCATCACTGTTTAGCATACCACACACAGTTTATTTAAGGCTTTTTTTTTACACACCCCCCCCCCCGCCTTCCCCAAATTAAAGCCCTGGGAGGGCAGGGATTTTGTCCTATTTTGTATTTACTGTCACATCTCCAGCCCCTAGCAGTGTCTGGTATGTAGCAAATACTCAAAAAATATTTGTTGAATGAAGGAGGAAGCTGAACCCTGTGGGCTCAGAGGGGCAGGCAGACACTCACACCACTGTGTCAACGAAGAAGTTACAGCCCAAATCCACCTGCATATATAACTCCGAGTGATTAGTTTCCTGTGGGGCCAGGGAAAAAGAGGTAGGGGTCAGTGGTCAACTTTTAATCAGGTGACAGGTTTGGGGCTGGGGTATTTCCCTCTCCCCCCGCCCTTTGCCCACAAAAAGAAGGTACCTAACCCTGGCATCTTTACCTGGAGTCGCTCAATGACATTTCTCAGTTGAAGGTATTTGGCCAGCTGCTCATATACCTTGTCACGATGGTCCAGCACCTTTCTGATGGGACATGATGGGACAAGAGTAAAATGGTGACCAAGAGGAAGCCCTGGCCCTCTTGGAATACCTCATATCGTGACCCTCTGAGACTCTCATGTCACCATGCCCTAAGAGGTGTTTTTGTGCAGAAGTCAAGATTTGGACTCTGGGTCAGACTGCTTCGGTTTGAATCCAGGCTTTCCTTTTTACTAGCTGTGTGACTTTGGCAAGTGAGTGACCTCTTTGGAACTCAATTTCCCCATCTATAAAATAGGGATGACAAGTATTACCTCATAGAGTCATGAGAAGGATTAAATGAGAGTTAACTATAAAGTACTTAGAATAGGGCCTGCCAAATAGGAAGCTCTATATATGTTATAGCTATTATTTATTAGTCTTCTTATTACACTCTATTCCCAATGACTCCCTTCAGCCGGAATATCCCGTTCTTACCGTAGAAAAATCCTCCATCCTTTTTAGGATGCTCATAATCCTAGTCCTCAACACTGTACTTCATGCTCAGATTAATAATGATAGTAATAATAATTTTTCATACTCGTTGAGCCTCTAGCATCCAAGTTAAATCATTTACAAGGACTGAACCCATTGAAAACTCAAAGCCAGCGCATGAAGGTTCAATTAACTTCCCCATTTCACACATGAGGAAACTGAGGCACAGAAAGTGGAAACGGGGTACATGTTCACACGGAAAGCGAAATAGCCAAGCCGGGATTCGAACCTGAGAACTCCGGCTTTGGCACTCTAGATCTTAACCTTTAAGCGCCATCCGAGGCCGCGCATGCGCGGACACATTCTGGACTAAGACCGCCATGTTTCTCCCTCCCCCGTCCCGGATATCGCCCCTCCTTCCTACTCGAATGGCGCACGGGGCTGGCCTTCGAAAGCCTCGCCCGCCAATCAGAAGGCTACGCCCTGACTTCGAAAGCCCCGCTCACCACGTGGACCGCTCCACGCGCCCCGCCCCCTGTTCTGTCACTCACTTCAGGTCCCGCTGCAGCACGTCGCAGATGAAAGCCTCGTAGCGCAGCACTTTCTCCCCCGTGGCCTCCACCGCCCGCCGTTTAGGGGGCGTCGCCATGATGGGCTCCTGAGGAATGGGGAAGGGAAAGACCACGTTGACCACTCAGTATGGTCTCAAGCACAGTACATCTGCACCCTCTCAACGTTGTGAGTGGGATCATCCGGCTCAGGCTGGGGGTTCCGCCTTCTGCCCCTCCCAACTCTGGAACTCCGTCACCCAGGGACGCCCAAATGCGGCCGTTACCTGAGAGCCGCCGGCAAAAAGAACGGTTGGTAAGAACCGCGGCTTCCGGGTGGCGCGGGTAAATGACGTACGACGAGGGCGCTGGCCAACCAAATAACCAGGTGGGGAGGGGCGGGCCTGAACGGAAGAAAACGCCGGAGAGAAGAGAAGGGCGGGGTTTTACCGAATCCGATGAAATTACCGGAGGCTGCAGTCGGTGGGAACCGGGAGCGCGCGAGGAGCCTATGGGGACCGTGCGTGGCTGGTGGGGGTGGGGTTTGATGGGATTTGGCGGGTTCTGGGGTAGGCGGGACGCACAGGTGGAGGTAGACAGAGAGTAAAGCTTTTAGCATTGAAAAGTCAGAGCTTCGGAAGCAGATGTGCAAAAAAATCGATTATGGGTTTGGTCTGTAAAAAGGAAAGTATATCCCTGCGAGCTACCGCCCTGGATTTTAATTTTTCACAGGGAGGTTTCGGTTTGACTCCCGAAAATTGGAATGAATGTGAACATTTAAAAAAAGTTTTTAAACGGAGACCAATTTTCTGAAATACACCTTTGATGACTCCCGCTCTGTGGCCCCAAACCCATAACTGGAGTTCAAGCAGAGATGGACAACGCACTATGTCTAATCACTTCATTAAATGGGGACGTCAAATGGAGTGTCGCTGAAGTCCTCTGCCCAAGATAGGTTATCTTGTAGTTGAAAATAGGTCCTATGTTTTTGTTTAAATGTGTGAACTTTTTACTACTTTATTTTTATGTGCTCAAATTATTGAATGGATTTATTTCCCGTGTTAGGTTTTCAAATGACAGCATCTAACCCAGCAAGTCCGGGCTTGATCCTGAAGGAGAACCCTAATGCTTGATTCCCCAAATGCTATTCCTGCCTGCAGGGCCTAGAGCACCCATCCCTATCAGGGAAGTCTTCCCAGATAATTTGTGGGCTTACTGTCTAAAAGCAAGTTTGGTTTCAAATGCTTAATACCTAAGCAAGCCAGGCTTTTCTTTGCCCTTAGAACAAGATGATTGCAAAGGAAATATTAAGAATTTTAAAAGTAAATTTTCTCAAGTTACATATAGTTAAAATGACGTTTAGTGTAATTGAAACACACACTAGGTGGTTAGACACATATTACCGAGTTAATCTATACCATTTTCCTGTGAAAAGGGATGTTACATTTATTACCTTTATACATGGAGAACACAGAGTTCTGATGAGCTGGATATGGGTCTGTGCAAGTCTATTAACTTACATTTCACCAAAACCCCCACATTTTTTACTTTAAAAAACGTTTTCCAAAAACAAAGCAAAAATACAGGACAGAAATAGACTCATGGACAGAGAATACAGACTTGTGGTTACCGGGGGCGGGGGGGTAGAGGGTGGGAAGGGATAGACTGGGATTTCAAAATTGTAGAATAGATAAACAAGATTACACTGTATAGCACAGGGAAATATACACAAAATGTTATGATAAATCACAGAGAAAAAATGTGACAATGAGTGTGTATATGTCCATGAATGACTGAAAAATTGTGCTGAACACTGGAATTTGACACAACACTGTAAAATGATTATAAATCAATAAAAAATGTTAAAAAAAACGTTTCCAACTTTATTTTTACATTTCAAACCTACGGAAAAGTTGGCACCGAACACCCAGGTTTTGAATTAAGGTGTAATTGTTTAGAATATTCAGTAAGTCTTTTAAAGTAACTGAACACCCATACAGTCTTCACTTAGATTCACCAAATGTTAATATTTCACTGTATTTGCTTTTTTCTCTTTTCACACCACACAGTAATTGTTGACATGTCTAGGAAGGGATAACAGTCTTTGCTTTCAATTTTTTGTATGCAACCATGATTATTATATTATGATTGTTTCCTTGTGACAAGTTTCTAGAAGTGGAATTTATTGATCTAACAGAGGTCACTGCATTGTAAAGCAAGTATTAAGTGACAGTTGTACACCACCTACTCCCAATAGCAAACTTCCACATCTAAATTTTACATCAGGGGTCAGCACACTATGAACTCCCCACCCCCAGTTTGCTGACCCTTAATGTTTTCCTACTGTCTGCAGGTTAAGAATACTGTTTACATTTTTAAAGACTTCAAAAAAGGTGAAAAGAAGAGTATTTTGTGATATGGGAAATTATGTGAAATTCAAATTTCAGTGTTCAATAATAAAGGTTTAAACAGCCACACTCATTTGTTTACTTTGATGAAAAATTTTCACATATTGAGGTATAAGGAAGTCATTCTGGCTTATACATGAGTCAACTTGAATTTTATGCTAACTAAAACAGCCTGTTTGTGGCCAATCAAATATACACTGTACATCTGCTTTAATTATTAAAGAAAAGGGCAGATTGACCAGAAGTAAAGAATGTCCACGTTAAAGATTAAATGCCTGCCTTCCTGGGCCATCAATGCTGGTCCTCTTTGATAAGACTCCCTTCCCAGGTGCCAAGGCTATACTGATTCTCTGTGTACATGCTGATCTTTTTTTTTAAACTTTGAAGGAAAGTATCCCTGACTTGTTTGATGTTCTGTGTTCTGACAAGATAGAAAACTGTGCTGAAAACCATGTTTCTCTGGAGCAGTTCCTCAGAGTGATCTGAGAGGCTGTCTTCTGGGCTGTAGTCCTCAGTTTGTCTCAAGTAAAGCTCTTTTCTATTCCTATTCCTATCATAGATTGTTTATTGGTTACTTCTGTCAACAATTTAACGTCTGTGACTGGTTTCATGCTACGTTAACCAAGAATTCCAAGAATGGAGGCTTGGTTGAAATAAAGAGGCATTCATTTTGAGTTTGTTAGGACTAATCTGGGAGACACAGACTCAAGAAGCACTTGAATTGTGTTCTGCAGGACTACAAAATGGAAGAGCTTTATAAAGGCAAAAGAAAAAAATCCAGTGAGTTTACATAAATTGTCAAAATTAGGATTGGAGCTGGCAAGAAGTAAGGGTGTTTGTTAAGCAAGCATTGATTGGGATTCAAAATGCTTACATACGTGCCAAGGGTTCGGGGTGGTGGTGGGGACTTTGAAACTGCAAGGTTGCAGCTAGCAGCTGCTAGCAGATAATCATTTTGAAAACGGCTGCTGGTGTTCTTGAATTCTATACAGTTCGGAGAAAATTCATGTTCTCAGTAGTGCCAGGATACGCCTGAGACCAGATCCTCAAAAGCTGCCCGACTCCATTTTTGTATGCCTGAACTATGATTACTCCATTATAATGTCAATTTGTCATCTCTACAACAGCAGAGTTGAGTAGTTGCTAAAGAGACCACATGGCCTGAAATTCCTAAGGTGTTCACTATCTTACTCTTTATAGAAAGTTTGCCAGCCCTACACCATCACGTCAGTCACTACTTCATAGGTTGGGGCTAGAAGCACGTGGCCCTCTCTGGCTTCCCCTGGTGACCTCTTACCCAGCTTACAGGTAGACATTTTCAGGCTGGTGCTTCTGGGAGATATGAGGCTCTCATATCTCTACGTATATTTTCTCTTCCTCCCGTCCAACCTCCTACCATCTAACCTCCCCCAGCTATGACCAGAGATCTCTGTCTTTGCCTTTACCTAAGAAGAGCAAGAAACGAATGAGGCCCAGATGAGTTATGGCTTATTTGTTCATTCATTGCCTATTTTATTTTCCACTGGATATTTGGAACCTGATAAGAACACATTCCACAAAATTGAAAACTAAAGGTAGAATCACAGAAAATATGAAGTAAAAGATTAGCATCAGAGAAGGTTGGGAGGCAGGTACGAAATTTACATCTGCACTTAGCTGTGAATTTGTCTCTAATCTTCCTATAGCCATAGCAAAAAATGCGGTCAGTTATGTTCATGAAAATCATCAATAGATAATCTATAATAGATAAAGTTTAAAAATAAAAATTTAAAACTTCTTTTATGGTTTCTTGTTAAGCCGGGTCACCCAACAAAGAATTCTCCTTGTCTTTGTTTCTCTAGGAATGTATTTTGTCTTCATTAAGTTTTTTATTTTGAAATAATTATAGATTCACTGGAATTTCCAAAAATAGCACAGAGAGGTCCTGTGTACTTTCACCCAGTTTCCTGCAATGGTTGAGTCTTACATAACTATAGTACAATATCAAACAAAGGAAACTGATGTCAGTATGATGTGTGTATACAGTTCTATGCTGTCTTTTTACATGTGCAGATTCAGTAACTTCTGCCACAATCAGGATACAGAAATATTTTCTCACTGTAATGATCTGCTTCATGCTACCCTTTCATAGTTGCACCCACCCTTCTCTCCATTATCTGTAACTCCTGGCAACCACTAATCTGTTTTCCCTTTCTATATTTTGTCATTTTGAGAATGTTTTATGAATGGAATTATACCGTATGTGTCCTTTTGAGACTCGTTTTTTTTTTTCCCATTCCGTGTAATGCCCTGGAAATCCATCCAAGTTGTTGTAGGTATCAGTAGTTCCTTCCTTTCGTTGTGAGTAGTATCCCATGGTGTGGATGTATCACAGTTTGTTTAACCATTCATGTATTCAGGGACATTTAGGTTGTTTCCAGCTTTCGGCTATTACCAGTAAGGCTGCTATCAACAATCATGTACAGGTTTTTGTGTGGATTTAATTCTCATATCTCTAGGATAAATGTCCAGGAATGCAATTGTTGGGTTGCATGGTAGTGTATGTTTAATTTCTTTAAGAAACTGACAAACTGTTTTCCAGAGTGGCTGTATTATTTTATAGTCTCACCAGCAATGGATGAGTGACCTGGTTCTTTTGCATCTTCTCTAGCATTTGGTGTTGTCACTATTTAAAACATTTTAAGCCATTCTATCAGGTGTTTAGTGATAGCTCATTGTGGCCTTAGTTCATGATGTGGAACACCTTGTCCTCTGCTATTTTGTCATTCACAATCCTCTCTGGTGAAGTGTCTTTTCACATCCTTTTCTTATTTTCTAATTGAATTTTTTTTAACTTTTGAGTTTTCAGAGTTCTTTATATACTATAGATACAAACCCTTTGTCATTGTCATACATATGGTTTGCAAATGTTTTCTTTCAGTTTGTCTTTTTGTCCTCTTAATGGGGTCTTTTGCAGAGCAAAAGGTTTTAATTTTTGAAGTCCAGTTTATTGATTATTTTTCTTTTT